ATCCAGTCGATTGACTTGTTTTAATATGAATTGAATTCGTTTCAAAAGGGGAAAAAACAAAAAAAGTCATCCCAAAACACTTATCCTTATCGTCGGGACTCTGGTGTTGCCCCAAGAGGATCCGATTACTCTTTTGCGGCCTGCAATTTGTTGCAGGTATCCTCATCTAGGGGGCCACCAAGGCATTCCGTGCATCGGGACTCTGCGTTGCCCCCACAGGATCCGATTACTCCTTACGCCCAACAAGGAGCCATGCACATGCAGACGCAAGATCATCCCACAAAAATGCAAAAGCGGAAACTACGGTGCAGTCAAAGGTTTTGAGTTTGAAAATGCACTTGCCGCAAATAGGGTAGGCTAGCGGTGAATGTATACAACCTAGGTTTAGGGTCCGGTAGGGTCACATGGGGGGGTGTTGTTTTCGCAGGATTGACTGAAGTGCATTTTTTCAAACTATTTTCGAAATCACACCAAGTTACCCCAAAACCATAGACATAGATCCAAAAACAAAAAACAAAAAACAAAAACAAAAAGCATAGAAAGATATATTTTCATCAGAAAAGAGTTGGTGTGTATATTATATCATGTCCACCCTGGCACTCGTGCCCCCAAGCATGACCAAGAAGGGAAACAACAGGCAGGCGTACTATTGTACTTGTATTTGAACATGCGCTCCGCCCGCCCGAATGAAAAACAGAAAGGGAAAAAAAAAAAAAAAAAACACAAGCACACGGAGAAAACTAACGACGCCCCCCCCCCCAAAAAAAACGATGCACTAGATGCCTTGCTGGCCTTAGGGACACAACGCTACACAGCAGCTACCCACATCATCGCAAATTGGCCCTGCACCATTGGCTGCTTATTTCCAGCCAACTTGTTATTTTATACCCACCCCTTTCCAATTGTTTGTTTGCCATTTATCGGGAAGAAAACGCTCGGACAAACTGAAGGTCTACATCTCAGCGACAGATAGCTTTCTTCTTGTCAATTGGCAGGGCAATCATACCACAGAAGCGGCAATGACTTTTCCTTGAGATCTCTTTTCAAACCACAAGTACACCCGCACCTGATCTAAACGAACCTGAATTTCACTGCACATTGAGTTTTGCCTAGCCTAGGACCCACTGTATTTTCCTTTCTGGTACTCACGGCAGCTACATCCATAAAAGAACAAGGTTAAAAAAAAAAAACAAGACGCTTCCCTAACCTCATGATAGCCATGAGAAAAACAAAAAAAATAAAAACAAAAAACACTCCCTCACATTGTGATCGTAGTCCGATACAGGACGCTACAGTAGTATTGTGAGTATGCGGTGAGCGAGGCAGTTGCTTGCCCCGCACTTAATACACCCTGCCTCGCTGGCAGGGCGCCAAAAGAAAACATGGGAGAGGGAAAAAAAAAAAANAAAAAAAAAAAAAAAAAAAAAAAAAAAAAAAAACGCAACCACGTCCCACAGCTAGTGGCCCGATACATTCCTTAAAGCACCAGTGTATATAGCACATATCGGCCCCAAACTTTTTTCGGATGAGGTCATTTTCCCGAATGGGACTACAGCTTGTCCCAAACTTTTTTGTCCTTTTTTTCCGCCCCTGGCACCGACCCCAAACTTTTCGGGCGAGGTCAATTTCCCAAATGGGACTACAGCTTCGAAAGGTTGTGGCAGTTTACAGCGCCGGTTTGCCAACAGCTGAACGAGGCTCTTTCGGGTGTGTACACAGTTAAGAGCATACGAACCTTGGGCCTGGGCTGGTAGTTTCATGTGCAGGCCACAATGAATCGGACCCCACTTGGAGGCTGTACAAATAGGCTTGGCTGAACTGGTGGTTTACGAAGTGGCTATGCTCGAAGTTTCTTGAAAGCTGCGACAACAGCGTAAGTAGTGGTGCTTTAAGCCACCAGTACTTGCTTGGCCCACCTATCGACCGCAGGAAAAAATAGAGTAGAAATGTTTCTACTCGGATGAATTCGGGCGCTCCTGTAGTGGCCCGTACGTTTCCTAGAATTGTGGCTTGTTAGCGGGCACGACTTTAGGAAGTACTGGTGATTTAAACCACCGTTCTACCCGACACCAAACAGTCACATTCCGAAGAGTTCCAAAGAGTTCGGAGCAGGCCTTTAGGGGGGGCGCCTACCGGCGGGCGCAGGCGGATCCTGTCCTGCAATTCTCACGCCCCAACTTTGGCAATTTTTCGCGCTCAGAAAATTTTTGAGATCCTGTAGATTACGTCCTGGTCTGGTCTTTCCACCAAAAATATCAGAAAAATGAAAGAAAAACAATCTCGGCCATGACATAAATGCCGCACCAATTCGCCACATTTTCCATTTTTTCCCTCTACAACTTGTGGGCCAACAGGAAAAAGTACCCCAATTTCAGCGATTTTCACACTCAGAAGAATATGTAAGAACTCTGCAACTAGGACGGTCTGTCGATTTGGTTGTGATCTTTGCATGAAAAATATTGTACAAATTTTGTAAAAAAAATTGTTTCAACCACGAAATAGGTCCTGGCGTCAATTCATCGCATTTCCCATCGTCGCCACTGTGCCGGTTCTCCACACTACCGTACTATCCCCCAAAGTTCCAACATACCCGTCCCGTGAAGTTCCAACATCAGGCAGGTAGAGTGGTGGTCTAAAAAGTTCGTACAAGAACATACATTACCTCCGCAGCAGTTACGGCACATGACCGACAGTGGAAGAGACAAAGCCATAGAGAGGATGAAGCACCTTATAGAATGCGAAGGTAACATATGCTACCGGTCCCCCGCAGCGCAAGAGATGCACTCAAACGGTACAGAGCCCAGGACACTTTTGACTGCTGTCTGCTCTTCAGTTCACTTGCTACGTTCTAGCTACACCTAGGCCTCTTCCAATCAAACACATTGTGTACGCCCCCTGCACCAACTAGGACTTAGAAGCAGGCACCTATCACGACCGTCGGCAATTGCCAGCACTCAGTGATTTACAGCCGTACTTGGCACAATTTTCAGTACAGAGACAGGTACAATTCATGGGCGTTCTACTCGGCTGAAGACGACAACAGATTTCCACGCCATGAGGCCTGCACCTAGCCCCTCTGATAGCGATGATAGTCATAACAAGCCATTTTCATAGAGGCCCGACATCATCTGACACGGACCCACACACACTGCGTCCTTCCTAGTATGCCTAATGCACAGCTTGCGCTTCATCGCATGGCGAATCTCTCAGTCTGTGTAGCCAGTTGGGAACAGGTTTCTGGCCTACACCACAGTGCCAACGCGTTTCATTGACATGACGGACGAGGTGCAATGGTGCAATCAATCCTGCCTCGCAAGAACGAAAAAAAGAGAGACTAAACTATAACTTAAATATTGATGCAACAGTTGAGCGTTTGGGCCCTGTCTACAACGACAGCATCTCAGACTGCCATCACATGCAACACTTGAGAGCCTTCAACCGCCAGTCCAAACACACCACCCTTCATCCAGAGCCTGCAGTCGAGCACAGGCCATACTTCCCATAGCGGTCCGACGACAGATGGTTGGCGGTTTAGTTAAAAAAGCGGTTGGCGGTTTAGCGAATAGAGCGGTTGGCAGTTTCACAAAAAGAGCGGTTGGCGGTTTTGCTATAATAGTGTGCTCATCTTCCAGATGAGCCTCGCAATCCCAACAAGTAACTACGATTCCACTGCCAAGACCAGAGTGCCCCTCCCCCATTCGTTTGCTGGCACAATGAAGATCATCGACCAGGATCCCCCAAGCACACCACCATACATAGCACTTTCATGAAGCAGTCCCACATGTGACTTCAGATATTGTGCTTACAAGAAAGATACTCTACCCTGACCAACTCTGCAATTCCAGTATTAACTCTTGGTTAAATGTCACACATGATGGGAATACTTCAATACTTCCTATTTCGATTTTCTTTTTTGTTAGTAATAATAAATAAAGCGCTTCCAGACAGTAGCAGCAACAATAGAATGTCCTCTCAAGCTTAACATATTCATACATTATTTAGTCTTATTATTATTAGGAAAAAAAATATAGAACCGTTATCACCTCCCTTTTTCACAACCATCAAACCGTTTTTCCCCTAATTCTCGAGCTAGGTATCAGGGCCCGCATATGACCGGATTTTTTAGGGTACCGATGGTCCAGGTCAACCATCCTAACGCAGGTCGAAACCATTCTTCTCTTGGCAGACGAATACAGAAAAACATGCTCGGGGATTTTTTTTTTCCCAACATCGAACCGTTTCCGCACCTCGCCTTAAGACCTGGTTTCGCCCGCGGATCATACAGACCGTCAAAATCCAGCCACACGCAGAGACCTGCCTGGAACCTTTTCCGAGAGCAGCATCAACCAGACCTGCAGATGCTCCAGCCGGACTTTTCCGGCCCTTGATATCCGGCCAGTGGTCCCCACCCTCACAACCTACCTACCTCGCGAGCGGGGATCTAACAAGTTGCTATTGGTCCAGGCTGCTGTCAAGGTACCCTTACAAATTTGGATGCCCTGAGGAGCAAGTCATCTTGTAGACAAAAGATTGTACACACCAGCCTGCAAGAGGACAATTAACAGCGAAGCAGCCAGAGGAGGGAGAACAAGGCAAAGATAAGGCCAGCATTGGCAGGTGAAAAGGGGCTCAAAACACAATTGGGACTTCAGAATACAATTGAGCGTTGTGTATTTTAAATCAAACATGTGTTCCCTGAAGAACTACCGTCTTCACCCGAATAGAACGCCCCCGAGTATTGCCGTATCTGGGCCAAATACAGCTATAATGATCGGGCGTTCTATTCAGGTGAAGACGGTAGTTGAAATAAACAGCGCAAGTAATCATGGCTAACAATATGCTCAGACAGCGGACAGCAAAAAGGCAACCGACAACAAAACACAGGATTCGCTGATAGGTCAACCGACACATTCACAGCAAACTGCCCACGCAGGATGTCACACATAACTTGGTGGATGATATCATTGCGGAAGTGTGTGATGAGATTCGCTTGCTTGTCCAGAAAAGCCAAGCATTTATCACAGGACTCCACACCAGCGAAATCCATCATCACATTGAATCACCAATTCAATGCCCACCCTCAAGCAATCCAGATATCCTCTCTCTCTCTCTCTCTCTCTCGCTCTCTCAATCCTCGTGTGTATAGCGAACAGCTGCATTCGCGCAAAAATAGTTAACTGCAGAAGTGTGAACTGAGGTCACATTAAACATGGGCAGGAGACTTGTATTTATAGCAAAATCCCAGAGAGCGCTTGATCACAGATACTCTCAGTCACAGAAAGAAGAGACGACAAACTACTGAAGCATACAGAATGGCGCAAGTTTCAGAAAACGTCCGGGCAGAAACAAGGATCACTCACTACTACTCCAGCTTCGCGACACAGACCTTTTCCTCTTTTGACGGCTTCCATTTCTCTTCCTTGTCGGACTTTTTGACGGACTCCTCCTTGCCCTTTCCCGCTCTACCCCCCTGTCCTTGTCCACTGCACCACTGTTCTGCTCCACAGACGGAGACGCAGACCTAGACCTGTTTCTTTTGTGCCTCTTCCTCCTATGTTTTTTCTTACGTTCACCATCATCCGACCCTTCCTCGTCTGCAGCATCCCCTTTCCGGTGTTTTTTCCTCCTCCGCTTCTCACGATGCTTTTCCCTCTTCACATCTTCTTCAGCAAGGTCGTCTGCATCATCTTCCTTGCTCACCAATTCATCTTTCTCATCTTTGCATCTTTTTCCCATCGTTCTATCCACCGCTCCAGAATCCTCTGATCGTCTCCGCCTTTCATCCCGCGTCTTCTCCACTGAAAAGTCATCCCTGCCATCTTCGTGTTCCGATCGGTCGCCGAGTTTGTCGAATGCCACCCCCTCTTCCTCCTCAACCATCCTCTTCAAGTTCTCGAGCTCTCGTTTTGCCCGCTCCTTCTCATTCTCTTCCACCCTTCTCCTCAGTTCTGCTTCTATCTTGTCACGCTCTTTCTCTTCCTCCTCTGTGATTGGGTCAGTCCCCACCTCATCCACTTCTTCCCTCGAAGGCAGGGCTGGCATACTCTCCTCGGTGTCTATCTTTGCCGAGCCATTGTGCATGTCTCCTTTACCTACACTCTTTGAAACCTCATCATCATCATCATCATTATCATCATCATCGACATCAGATTTCTTCTTCCTACCAAGTGACACTGACAACGAGGGTACAGGGGACAGCGATACCTCTTTCCGCTCAGTCTCTCGCTCGGATTGTGCAGGGCTCCTGCTCTCACTGCGTTCCACGCTTTGCCTCTGCCGTGGTTCGGGTCGAGATGGATTGGACCGCTTGTCAATGATCTCCTCGCGCCTTCTTCGCGGACTGACACTTTGCCTAGAATTGTGACGTGGCCAAGGAGATCTGGACCTCGACCGTCGGTGATCAATGGCACGTTCTCGATCTCGTTCTCGTTCTCGATCTCGGCTTCGACTCCTACTTCGTCGACCCTTGAAGTGATACTCCCGCTCCCAGTCCCTACCACTGCTATAGTATCTCGATCGGTCGTATTCTCTCCCTCTATGCATGTAATGTTCCCGCTCCCTGTCCCTCTCTCTCCTCCAGTCCCATTCCCTGTCCCTGCTTCTACTCCTTGGAAACCACACATCCCTCGTCCTTGACCGTCCAGATCCGCCTCGATAGTATCTCTCTCTTTCTCGATACCTCTCCCGCATTCTGATGGGGGATGGTGTCCGATAAGCCCTTCTCCTTCCTCCTCTTGGCGAGCGAGAGCGCGACTTCGACCGTGATCGTGACCGTGCAGGCGATCTCGATCGTGATTTCGTCCGTGACCGAGACCTCGATTTGCGAGACCGAGTTGGAGAGGACGAAGCTGACCCAGGCTTACTGCTCAGAAGCGCAGCCATTCATGAGCACCAGCCACACCCCCAAGTCAGTAAAACATCATCCCGCCGACAAACGCACCAAATAAGGTTGATGGCCTTCAAGCGGGGCGGGTGGGGGATGGGGTTTTGTAACCTCCATGCTCACCACAATGCAATTTGTCCTTCTGCGACGCCTCATCCAAATCCATGAGGGCACATTCCCAGCAAAACTTATTTTTTGCAAACCCCAACACAAAACACCTGATCGAGTCCAATGGATTCCCAAAAAAATTGCAAACTGGCACAGACACAGCAAGAACCACTGATTTACCAGCAGCACAAAACATGACACGCACACGCATCTCTCCTGACCCCCACTAACAAAACAGCAGTCAGCCAACCAACAGGCCTAGCTGAGTTAGCACACCCCTGAACTGTTGAAATACAGACTCAAGCTCGAATCCAGATACCTTCAGATGAAGAGAGGAAGAGAATAAGATCACTGTGAATTGCCTGGGGCCTGTCAGTTCAATAACGACATCTAAAGGTCGTCGCCCCTTTCAAAAAAAAAACAAAAAAACACAAGCGGTCAGAGGCATTATTATTGTTATTAACTGTTGTTGTTGTTATTATTGTTATTATTTGCACCACACCGTCATCCTTTGCCCTCATGATCATCAGCAGCAGCATCACCGCGGTAATCAACATCACCACTCTGGCACTTGTCGATATCTAGCCGTGCCACACTCATCGTCATTGCCAGTAATCATTACCTTCAATCAAGACACAAGGGGAGTTGCTGGGAACAACATCAGCACAAAACAAGCAAATCTTCCTCCTCCTTTTTCGCCCTCCGTTCCCTTCAATCATGCCACAAGAGGAGTTGCAGGGAACAACATCAGCACAAAACAAGCAAATCTTCTTTTTCCCCTCCATTCCCTTCAATCATGCCACAAGAGGATTTGCTGGGAACAACATCAGCGCAAAACAAGCAAATCTGCCTTCTCTTTTTTACCACTCCTTTCCTTCCTAATTCCTTTTTCTTCTTTTTTGTTCTTGTGCGAACTGCCCCCGAATTTTATCCTTGGGGTCAGAGGCAGTAGCACAGCAAGCTCCACATGTCAGAATAAACGTGGACCCCTCCAATCGCCCTTAATCCAGACAGATGTCCGCCATCCCAGACGACTCCGGTTTGGACAACGGACCGCGCATCCGGGCCAGATGTTCGGGTTCCGGACAACGAAACAGATGTGCAGCCCAGGTGTCCAGGGGTCCCAGACATCTGATAGCCTAGCCTTTTTTGGATCTTCCTTTTCCCACATACTCTTGGCTTCCCACGCACACCTCCACACTCTTGGCTTCCCACGCACACCTCCACACTCTTGGCTTCCCTCGCACACCTCCACACTACCTTTCCCAGATTATCCTGGACTTCCACAAAGAAAACGGCACTACCGAGCACCTTTCACGTAAAGTAAGACAGCATAGACCAAGCCAGTACACATAAATGAAGAGCAACGCGTCGTTCCGTTGGAAAACTCTTACCTGTTTTCAGCCTTCATTTCAGATTTTGCCTTTGCTGCCGCCTCCTTTTCCTCCTTCGCATCGTCCAGTCCTTTCAACCGCTTGCTGATTTCTGCCGCCCGAGCAGCTGCCATTTCAGCTGCCGTTTTCACATTGGCTGCTCGAGCTGCGGCCATCTGCTGCTGCTGAGCTGCCTGCATTGCAAGTGCATGCTGAAACTGGATCTGTTGCAGCTGCACAGCTTGCTGCATCATCGCCGGCAGACTCTGCGGAGTCGCTGGAGACTGCTTTACCAGCCTGGCATTCTTTGACAGCTCTACTCGGATAGACCGGTCCCCAACCACCATCCCATTCAATCCGAGGGCTGCCTGAGCTTCTTCGTGCTTGGAAAACTCGATAACAGCACCAGACTGATGCGCCTCACCCTCTAGCCTACAATCGATGACTCTTCCACAGAAGCTGAACAGCTGCCGTACCTGCTCCATTGTCAGCACAGGACTCAAGTTTGCAACATGCACTGTTTGCGTCATCTCGTCTTCTGTACCACGACGACTTCCTGTCAACATGCCAACAATCAATCCCTTTTGCCGAAGCACACCGACACAAATCATAGACCCAGCCCCAGCCCAAACAATCATTCATTAAGCCCTCTACCCTTCCCGCCTGCCAGCCTTTTGTGTGGAGGCATCATTTTCATCATCCACATCCAGAAACATGCCACTTGTCCTACGGCCACGTCAAGCACCAAACAAACCCGCCGCCCAACCACCTCCCCATCCTCTCTACCCTGCACATTAAACCATGAAATTCCAGGTCCATCACATCAAATATCTTTTTAATCACCTGAGAGGTTTTGTCTCCTGATCGATCCCACAGGAGAAACGATAAAACTGTCAGACGGTCGCAAACCACCACCATCTTCCCGCAAAAATATGAACACCCAAAATAAGTCGTGAGCCATAGCGATAAATAAAATAAATTCCTGCCTTCCACAATTCAAACCAAGGAGGAAGGGGCAAGAGGCAGAAATCAAGAAATATAATAGATCGAATAGTGTGCAAAACCAACATCGCAGCCAGCAACACGGACACAAACGCGGCAAGTAACCGAGCTAGCAAACACACAGGAACAGGAATGACACTAGGGGAACATAAGCAGCCATAAGTGCATTTTTACACAGCTGATTCGAGAACAGAGAGTCAGACAGTCGAGCACCAAGTTTAGACATAAGATCGGGTCCACATGGAAGTCGGGGGGGGGGGGGG